CTCTATGAGCTGAAGCAGGACCTGGGGGCAAGAGGGCCGGATGATGGAGTCAGAGACACCGAAGCTCCCCCTGCCCCTCCTTCCTCAGCCTCTGACTCGAGCGGCCACTCCATCTCCGGCGACTCTCAATGGCTTCCAGGTGTGAGTTGTTCGGGGGCGACCACAGCCTTGATTGAGTCTGGCCAAGGAGGTGATTAAACAGCTCGGCTTCTCTTACTGCCTCTGGGTGTCTTTGCGCCCCTGACCGCGAGCCTCTCTGCTGTGCCCACGTTCTTCCCTCGGGCTCTGTCTCCGGTGGGTCAGGTTTCCACTCTGTCCCCGGTCTCCAAGCCCTTGGAGAACCACATTATTTTGATAATGGCCTCTGGTTTGCTGGGTTGACCGATGTCAAGCCTCTTGTTTGACCAAAGAAGTTCTCTGTGGGTCAGGATGATGTTAACGAGCAGATTAACGTTAGAAAGCAGGGAACGGCTATTTCCCTGGTGCACAACTTTCTTCGCTCACGAGTCTCTCAACTGTTTTCAAAAACTAAAGACAAAGAAAAAAAAGGAAGACTGGAGAGCATGGCCACAACCTAGGCTCAGCCACTGCTCGGGCCGACAGCGGAGAACAGAGCACGCACGAGGTGCGCTCCCCAGTGGAGAGGGTCAAGGGCGTTCACCCCGGGACCAGATAGGCGGCAGGTTCCAAGTCCACCGACCAATAGAATGATGACACCCTGGGAAGCCACGAGGTACACGGCAAGTGTGTAAACACACAAATACACACAGGAGAATGTGCTAGGTCTAACGAAGTATAAAAAAGGAATCTCCCTTGTCTCTGGCTTGACAGTTAGAGGTTTGAGGACAATGGTGGCCTTGGTGGCCTTCTACAGGAAAAACTTCACTCTTTCATTGTTTCCCATTCTCACACAAACAACCGTTTCTTTTGGGGGCTCAGAGGTGATCTTTCCAGGAAAGCAGTCCCATCTTTAGTGTTACTGGCCAAGGGTCTTGGTTGAGCCTGACCATTATCAGCCATGACGATGGCAGGGTCAGGCGTGTGCAGGCCCAGGACTCGCACAACACAGCCCTGGCATGGTCTCCCACCGCGAGATCTGGTAGACCAGATGGCCCACAGAGTAATGATCCCTTTCTCTTAAGAAAAACAGGGATGATAAGCACAAGAAACATGTAGATAAATGTAGCTAGAATGATCTGTCATGGGAATGAATGGAAGAATCCATTGACACCACAACCTCTCTTTCTTCAGGTACAAATATAAAATGTTCACTATTTGAAGGAAAAGTCATACATTGTGGAGTGTTCAGGGAATCGGGGTATTTACACTCCAGGATGGCAGGCACAGGGGGGTGGGGGGACAGAATAATTGGAAATTTTAGGAGGAAATGTACACGGGGGCGAGACATGAATGGAGAAATGATCATTTTAACGTGTAAACTAGGGCAACCAGGTGAAGGTCCTGGGGAAGGCAGCCAGTCACTGAGAGAAGGAATGGAAATGGTGTTTGAACGTCACATGCTTACACGTGGCAGCTGAAGCTCCCACAGGGCATGCGCCTTAAGGACAGGGCACAGAGGACGATAAGCACAAGGTCAGGAAGAACGTCTTGGGAGATACCCTCACGCACAAGTGGAACAAAAGTTCCAAGGAAGATGACAGAATGGTAGGGAGCAGTGAGGGACATGAGACAGGTTAGAGCCACAGTAATGCAGGCACCACATATCAATGGGGACATGTGGACAGATGTATCCACTCTTTAGAGAAAAGTATGTCTGCATTCTGAACCCCGCCTCCAAGGGTGACGGCTGGGTTTGCGCTGTCCCATACAGCGGCCGCGGACCACGTGCGGCTGCTGAGCCCTGGCAGTGCGGCGGGTCCGGCCTGAGACGTGCCGTGAGTGCAGCATTGCTCCCGGGACTTCAAAGACCGAAGAGGAAAAACAGAATTTAAGATAGATATTTCATTGAGAATTTTTATATTGATTATATGGTGAAATGATCTTTTAGCTACATTAGGTTTCAAAAGTATGAAAGTTCATACTATTTAAACGCGTTTACTAGAAAATTTTAAATCACATCTGTGGCTCCCATATTTCTACTTGGAACAGCTCTGGTGAAAATGGACTACAGACCTAAATGTGAAAAGTAAAAACATGAATGTTAAAAGAAGAAAATGTAGGAGAATATATATGTGACTCAGGTAGAAAAGAAAAACTTACACAAAACTTCGGAAGCATAAACTTTAAAAATTGGTTAATTTGATAAAAATTGAGGACTTCTGGTCAATGAAGGATACCAAGGTAACAATCTTGTGGAATGAAAGAATATACTCGAAACCTGTAAGATACTAATATGTAGAATATGTGAGAAAATCCTGCAAGTTGACAAGAAAAGGGGCAAAAGATATGAATAGGAAATTCACAGAAGAGTAAATGCAAAGAAGCTTACCAAGTAATCAGAAATGCAAATTAAAGCAACCGTGTATGTGTGACTTTATTGTCAGACGGGCAGAAACTAGGAAACCGGGCGATGTCAAACAGCACAGACGTGGCGACACAGGGCCCCTCGTGCGCTGTAGGTGGGAGGGCAGACTGGACAGTTTTTCCGGACAAAAACCTAGCAGCTTCACCATGGGTTCGCTGTCCCCCAAATTCTGGCATGAGTCCATTGTGGCATTCATAATCAACATATGGATGTTAACTCCAGCCTTGTTGGGAGTGGTGGGGGGTTGGAGGCAACCTGATACCCCGCACCCAGAGACTGACAGGTAAGATACGGGGATGGCACCCTACGGATGATTTACTCGGTGGTGAGATATGACACAGCAACTTAGCACTTAGTGAAAAAGGAAATAGTGAAAAAAAAAATTGCGTTGAGTACTACAACACGATTTACATAAATATTTACATACATTACAATAATTTACCTAAATGCACAATCAGTGGGCCTTGTTTAGATCTATATTAGAAGAAACCAATTGTATAAAGACATGTGCAACAGTCTGGGGAAAATTTGAAATAAATATTAACAAAGAATATTATTCATCATATTAGTAATAAATTATTCAACACCAATAATGGAAATGGTGTTTGAGCATCATGTGCATACATACTACTAATAGTAGAAGCAATAAAATACTTTTATAATAAAAAAACATAACACTGGATGTTCTCATTAGAGGCAGATCCTGAAGTCCTAATAAGAGAAATGGCATTATGTCTGTGGTTTGCTTTTTAAAACTCCAGCCTGTCCTCACCAAAAAGTAGAGGGGTTAGATAAAGTATGGGCAAAATGTTGATAATTGTCAATCTGGGTAAAAGGTCCATAGGAGTTCATCATAATATTCTCTGTGCCTTTTTGAAAATTTTCACATAAAACTGTTTTTAAATGGAAAAAGCGAATGTACTAAGACATGCCTTGCAAGAATGCAAACAAAATAATACCCGTCGAACTCATTAGAATGGTTGCCTGTGGGGGAAGGTGAGAGGAGGTAAAAGGGAATAAATAAGAGTAGGGAAATAGATGGAGGGAGGAAATAGAACGGTGCAGTCAGAGCTGTGGGAAGAAAGCATAAAGACAGAAGGCTAAAGGTTGGTGAATGGGATGAAACTTTTAAAACGGTGAAAACTGTCCAGAGGACATTAGTTTTGGTGACCTCGGGAAATTCTGGGAACTGGAAAGGAGAACAGAACCCAAAACAGTGTATGAAGGTGGATGACGGTAGGTTCAGACCCTCCGTTTGAGAAGTCAGAATGGTGAAGATGATTGAAAGCTATTTCAGAAATGGGTGAGGACGGGCTGCACGTTTTAAAAGTCTGACTGTAGTGAAACTTGAAATGACCAGAGGAGAAGGGAAGGAGAGAGGTGGATAGAATCATGTGGGAAACAAGCATGAATGTTAAAATTGCAAGGATGGTGCCTCTTCGGAAAGAACTCGGTGAAAGAAACATATCCAAGTAGCTGGGGAGGAAGAGGGCAGCCTCAGGAATTTGTGCTTGATGGTATCAGAAGAGATTCTACGGAGCCACCACCAGTGAGAAATGGAGATTGACAATCACCGAGGCACGCTGTACTCCGAGATAAACTCGGTCCATCAATCTTCATAAACGTCTATTCTTTGTTCACGGGTGACAGTGAGTAATCCACCAAATAATCTCCCTTTTGCCACCAGGAGGTGCCCTTGGACCACAGCTAAATTCTGAACGCTAGAAAGTGCCCCGGGACTCACTCACTGATGCCTAGTCCGGTAGCTTGGCGTGGACGCGCAGACCTTGCCACACACCCAAATCTAGGAAACTCTCTGGGCCTTTGCACCAAGTATTCCTTGGTGTGCTCACCACAGGCCGGGAACTGTGAAGGACACACAGTTGCTACAGAGAGAAAACCAGCCCACGTACATACATGGACGAACAGAACATGACTAAGGGTAGCCTGCATAGAATGCTTCCTAGGGCCATCCCAGCTCTGCCGTCTTTCACTGTTTCATCACTAATGAACAACACGTTTGTAATGAAAAGTAATTCTTACATTATGTTTAAAACTCTACCCCCTCAAAAAAAGGCTAGATTTGCTTAAAATGTGGCACGTCTGTATTTCTAAAAGGTCTCAAGCTGTGCTAGAGGTTGGCCAGCACGCTAAGAAAGCCCCTTTTTAGAGGACCCAGTGAGATAACCCTTTGTCATCAGCTGCAGGCCCCCACCCCCGCTTCTGCAGGCCCTTATAGCACCATCCATTGTGATGGCTAGTGACACCCTGGCCTTCTGATTTTTTCTGGACGCAATGGTTGCGTCCAGAGCCGTTGTGACGTATGAACGACGGCCCCCCCTTCCAGGGTGTTGATTGGCTACTCAGGGCTGGGGGCGGGCTGACCTCCGCTCTGCGGTGGCGTCACCAGCTGGCCACGCCCCCGAGTCCGGACGATTGGGAGCCAAACCTTAGGGCAGTCATTTACATGCAGCCGTGGGATTGGTCGTCCGGCCCGCAAGGGGAGGGGAGAGGTAGCGCGCACTCGCGCGTGCGTGAGTTGGCGCGCGAGAAAGGGCCGGGTCGCGCCGAGGCTCCAGCGGCCTTCGCCATTTTGTAGCGTTCTCTCTGACGCGGGAGCCGCCGCCACCGCCGCCGCCGCCCGGAGGTAGGAGCGGGTCTTGTGGGTGTGTGGGGAGCCCGAGGGCGAGATGAAGTGGGCCAGGCCGAGTCTCAGAGGACGGGAGTGTTCCTGGGTTTGGGTTTCTTCTCTGGGAGAGGTCCGGGGAAGACAACGGCAGGAGGCGGGGCTGGGTCTCCAGAGGGGGCGGGGCAGGGGTCGGGTCGAGTCTTTGTTGGGGCGCAGAAGCTGGGGGTTGTGTTTCTGGGGTGGGTGTGGGGGGTCGTGGGATTGGGGCCAAGGGACCCTTTTTATTCTTAGAGTATTTTGAAAGGTGAACCCTTACGTAGGACAGGTACACAGATTTCCCTCCAAAACCTGTGGCCAGGGACCCTCAGGTAGACGTCTGTGGGCCCTGGCTTGGGCTCTTTTCTTTCCTGCCCCACAGAGAGTGTTTTAAGATGTGAAACAGCTCAGCGTGTTACTCAAAGGCGCCTCATTTCATGGAGGTGATAGAGAATGCAGTACGTGCTGACCCCCGACCCCGTTTTCATGTCACACTACTCTTTAAGAACAAACCTGTCCCCCTCTTACGGAGGAAAAAATAATGGACGTCTGCCTGACGGTCTGGAAGGTGCCAGGCACTCCTGTGGAAGAGTAAACCAAAGGCTGTGCCCTGAGATTGCCTGCTCCACCCGTAACTTTTGGAAACCTTTTTTTTTTTCCTTCCCTCCCAGGCTCTTGTCAGGATGGTGAAGCTGTTCATCGGAAACCTGCCGCGCGAGGCCACAGAGCAGGAGATACGCTCACTCTTCGAGCAGTATGGCAAGGTGCTGGAATGTGACATCATCAAGAACTACGGCTTTGTGCACATCGAGGACAAGACGGCGGCAGAGGATGCCATTCGCAACCTGCACCACTACAAGCTGCACGGGGTGAACATCAACGTGGAAGCCAGCAAGAATAAGAGCAAAGCTTCAACCAAGTTGCACGTGGGCAACATCAGCCCCACCTGTACCAACCAAGAGCTTCGAGCCAAGTTTGAGGAGTACGGTCCGGTCATCGAATGTGACATCGTGAAAGATTACGCCTTCGTACACATGGAGCGGGCAGAGGATGCCGTGGAGGCCATCAGAGGCCTCGACAACACCGAGTTTCAAGGTGAACTGCTCTGGGGCCTGGGTGTCAGAACCGAGTGAGGTCTAGCTCAAGGCATAGGCAAGCACACAGCACCGCGAGGCTGGTCGGGTGGTAGCTTCCAGTCTGTTTTAGCTGGAAATAATACATTGTGTGTTTACCGCTCTTAAGCACAATTACTCCCTTTCCAGCTTTGCCAGGTCCTTTTTAGGCTGTCAATAAGTGCACAGAATGACAAACTGGGTTTATCCTTCAGGCTTTGCTCATTTCAGTGCTGTTGGAAATGTAAGCTGCGTGGGCAAATGAGTATCTCATGGGAGAAGGGAGGACAGGTGGTGGCTTACCTGATGCTTTGATTGTGAGCAAGAAGCCTTATGTTTGAGAGTTAATGTGTGTAGGATTTATACTCTTGACCAGCATGGGCTGTGGTGGGAAAGAGGAACCAAGACACCTGGAGGAATCTCTGTGTTACAAATCTGGGTGGTGAATCTGGATTTGGGAGAGTATCTTTTGAATGGTCAAATTTGTTCAGCTCAAGCAGAGCCAAAATCCATGCCATGGACTAGGTGTTCCTCGACTTATGATAGATCCATTGGAAGTTGAAAATACCGTAAGTCGATACTAAAATGCATTCGCTGCCTCACTGTAGGGTATCGTTTGTTTGCCCTCGTGATCATGTGGCTGACTGGGAGCTGTGGCCCAGGTGCCACCGCCCAGCATCATGAGAGTATCGTACTCATACTGCTAACCTAGGAAAAGATCAACATTCAAAGCATGGTTTCTCCCAAATGCATACTGTTTTCACATCATCATAAAATCAAACTATCGTAAGTCAGGAACTGACTGGCTGGATTCTGCTCCACCTGTTATTTAACCCTAAGGGGAAAAGAAATCCTAAAATAATTAGGTTGAATGGGAATGATGGTTCTGGTCCTGCTCCTGAAGAGACTCCAGTAAGATATTTTAGCAAATAATGTGTTATTTATACTAATAATAAAGGTACCTATGTTGTCATTAATACCACAGGAGGTTGTCCAGTGACTCTAGGAATGTGCTAATATGATAGCCTCTGGCCACATGTAACTGTTAAATTGAAATTTTAAATAAGAGTTAAAATTCATCTTAATTGTGCTGCGCACATCGCAAGCACTCAGAAGGCATGAGGTGAATGGCTACTATATTAGTGCAGATACGGAACATTTCCAACGTTGTAGAAAGTTCCTTTGGACAGCGCTGTTCTACAAGGCTTTTGTTGACAGTATAATCTTGGACCACACATTTACAGCCACTCCTCAGAGTCATAAATCAACACCACTTTCCGTCTGAGTGCTAGTAAAAGGGTTGTTAAGAAGTACTTAAGGTCCTCTGCTAAGCCTGGAAAACCAGGGAGAAAAGAAATGGAAGAAGAGGAAAAGTTGATTACAAAAGGGTAAGAAAGTTTGCAAATAGTGGAGATTGCAGATAGTGCACCAGATGTCCATGTTCACAGCTAATGGTGCCCTGGCCTTTAGCTGCTTTTTAAAGCTTGGGGCAAAAGTCATAGATACTTGCTACCATTAACTAGTCATTATAACTTTGGACAAGTATTTTAATCTCTCTGTGCTTATCTTTCCCACTTATAAAATAGAGTTAGTGATCCCTGCGGTATTCTTATTTATGTTTGTTTTTATTAACTTGTAAACCTGTTGCATTTCAGACAACTTTAAAAATGTTCTTAATCATTTTCATTTAATAGGGGAGGAAATCTGAATGGGCAGTGGCAGAGAGAAATGGTGGTTCTTGCTTGACAGGTAGTAAGTAGAGTAGAGTAAGTAAGTGGAAGTCAGGTACAAACTGCAGAGATAGTCTAGTAGTGTCCTTATTTGTGTCCTTAACCTTTTTAAAACACACTTGAATAAAGGCTTAGGGTCAAGTAGTATATGGTAGTCAGTTAATTGGGGGAAGTTGGTTTTGGAGGAATGTGTGTGTTAATAAAATAGGTTTAATTACTTTAGAAAGTAGATGCCTGAGTAACACATGACCCATAAGACTTTTTAAAACGTCATCATTGGAAAAGAAAAATCCTTTATTTGGTTTTCATGTTCTTAGCCTGACCCCTCTGGAGAAAGCACTGTGCTCTGAGTTACGCACATAGCCATTTTTATAACCAGCTCTTTTTTCTCCAAAGTTTAGTTTAGTTTAAACTAAAAGTTTAAACTAAAGAAAGTTTAACATTAGATAGTAAGTCGCAGTTTTACAGAAAATACAATCTAGATACCAATTCATCTCATTTCTAAATAAGGCCTCTTCAGCTACCTAATGAAGGTGGCCTCTTAAGAATGCCTCTTTGGCATCTCTCGAACCTTTACATGTTAACGGCTGGCATTTAGGCCTCTGCCTTCTGCCGCCATTGTATGACTTCTGAAAGGACCTCAGTCTTTCAGGGTCTGCTTTCTCTCCACAAGCAGCAGTGAACTGCACCTTTATTGAGTTAGCAAACAGTTTGCTTTGGAAATCCTTAAGCCTTCCAAGTAACAATTCAGGCAGCTGAAGTGGGAACGATCTGTAAGAGTTCAGGTGTCGCCTGTTTTCTCCCCCCAGTGTGTAAACAAGCATTAAATTCAAGTACTGTTGTGTGTCAGCTGGGTCCCTAGCCCTCTGGATCCTGGCATGTGATAGGAGTTCAGCAGTTAGGACCCCACGTTGCCCACCTCAACATTTTACTACTCTCTTCTGTTCCAGATTTCAGAAGAAAACACTTGCATTGGGCTAGTCTTATTGTAAATGTCAGCAGTGGATTTCAGTAACTTTTGAAGATCTCAGGAAATCTTTTAGGTTTTGTCCTCTGTAAGTGTAGGAGAGTCGTAGAATTTAATTTTCTGTTTTCTTTACCCTGGTTCCTTAAGTTAACAGAGAAGCACAGCATGTTTCAATTATAAGAACTTCAGGGAATTTAAATGAAAAGCATAGTTACAATCTTTGGGAAGACTGGGGGGGGGGGGACTTCTCATTTGTATTACAGATCTTTTAGTTCTAGGAAAAAAAAATTTTACCTAAGTGTTTCTGATAGTTACTATGAGAGGTAGATTTTGCCACAGGTATTTACAAACCTAGAAGTTCCACTCTTTGAATAAAGCTGGGATAAAGACTGGACGTAGTAACAGAAACATCAAGGGGAAAAAATCACTGGGTTTTGTTTCTTTTTAAAAAAATGCACCCAGAATCCATAAAATTAAAGAGCAAGTTAAACCGAAGCTTTTTCCTTAAAAATGCCTCTGGATTGGCTACTTTTTAGATTGGCATGGTTACTCTGACTTCAGAGTTGCAGCAGTTTGTCACACAGGTTAATGTCAACGTTCATGGTTGAAAAATAAGTGATTTGTAACCCTACAGTCTAAATTATGGTGAACTCTACATTTGTGAGTTAACTTCGGGCAAAAATCTGTGTTTCTGTTCTATGCATAGTTAGCCTGTGGCCCTTAACTCTAAGAATTAGAATGAGAGTTTTTAAATCTCTGCAAACAATGGGATGGCTAAATGCTGCTTTCAGAGAATTAATGCCATTTGGTATCTATTGACTGTGTCAGTCAGTGGTGAGGTGGGTGCTGCCTCCTTGCTAGCAGCTGGAAGTAAAAACCTGAGCTCCTTTGTTTCTTCTAAAGAAGAGGTTTGGGGTTTTTTTTTAATCCTCATTGAAAACATGCTTATTGATTTTACAGAGGGGAAGGAGGGAGGGGGGGAGAGAAACATCGATCAGGTGCCTCTTGCATGTGCCCCAGCAGGGGACAGAACCCACAACCCAGGCAAGTGCCCTGATCAGAATCAAACCTGTGACCTTTCGGTTTATGGGTTGACGCTTCAACTGCCTGAGCCACAGGCCAGCAAGGACTAAAGAAAGGGCTTTAAGTTAGAGGCAGTAACTACCGGAAACTGGGGTGGTAGGAATCTTAGACATTGGGCAGAAATGAGTTTGACTGAAGTGGTATTACTGCACTAACCCGCTCCCCTCTCAGGGTCAGTGCATGGCGCTGTTCTGGCTGCCGTCCTGAGTCGGGCTGTTTCCAACAGGATGGTGGATGGAGCACGAGGCCTCCTATCGCATAACTGCATCCAGAACAAGGTCTGTCAAAGAGAGAGCAACTTGCGGAGGGGGGATCTGTTCTGAGTAGCCCTTAAGAGTGGTGCAAAGCCCCTGTTCCCTGTCTGTACTGGCTGTGTTTTGGCTACAATTTGAAAAGCACTGACTTGATCTCCAAGGTCTTACGCAGTGTGGGACTAAATACTGCCAAAAATACTCCTTTTCTCAAACTGCTTTTAAAGACCTTGGGTGCTTGCATCAGTGAGGGTCCCTGGGCTTGGTGGTACCCAGACCCAGGGCAGACGTCGTTTCTTCTCTTAGGTGTTTGCAGTGCTGGTCGTTCCCTGGGGGTGTCCTGTTTGTATGGGTGCCCAGAGGGCTGCGGACAAATGCTGTATTTTTCTAACAAGTAGATAATCCCATATAAAGAATTGTAAACTAGGTGGCAAGATGAAATGCTAATCATTCCATTACATGGGAATACACTGTCCCTAAGAAACCAGTATTATTTCAAGATCTAATGCTTGCTTGAGAGACCTTGGTCGGGTAGTTTTCTTTTCCATAGTAGGCACAGAGTCACCCTTGCTGGAAAATTGGGGATGAGGTTGAAATCTGGAGGGCTTTATAACTTCTGAAGATAAAGCATATGATGAGCCTGGTATGATTTGTGTATCCAACATACCCTTCTGTGACACCTGCAATAGCGGCTGGAAGGAACAGGATGGACAGAAGTTTGCTGTGGTTTTTAAGCTGCGGTAAATGCTCAGGTGTAATGTGGCCCTGAGTAAATCAGGGAAACGTTGGTAAGATACTTTCCAAATATAATGTAACTGAAGTTTTTTGTTGGGTATTTGATTTGGAAGAATTGGCAGATTTTGAACTGTTAAAATCTTACAGTCTCATAAACCAACCCCCCTCCCCCCAAAATCTCACAGTCTTAGCAGTGAAACTTGGAAACTTTCAATTTCTGTGTTGACATGGGGGAGTTGTGGAGACAAGTAGGAGGGAATCCATCCTACCCGGTGTAAGTAGAAAATATTACTGGTCTATGAAGAGTCAAACTTCCTAGCTCTTATCTGTATTAAAACTTCTTTTAGAGAGGATTGCTGAAATAGGGTCTCAGGAGTGTGTGTATGTGTGTGTGTCTTATGCCAACTAGTTTATTTTTATTTGGGGCAGGATAAAGAATGCCAGTGAGTTATAATAAATCTTGTATCTATTTCCTCAAGGCAAACGAATGCACGTGCAATTGTCCACCAGCCGCCTTCGGACTGCCCCTGGGATGGGAGACCAGAGCGGCTGCTATCGGTGCGGGAAAGAGGGGCACTGGTCCAAAGAGTGCCCGGTAGATCGTACGGGTCGCGTGGCAGACTTTACCGAGCAGTATAATGAACAGTACGGAGCAGTGCGCACGCCTTACACCGTGGGCTACGGGGAATCCGTGTATTACAACGATGCATATGGAGCACTGGACTACTATAAGCGTTACCGGGTTCGCTCGTATGAGGCAGTGGCAGCAGCAGCAGCAGCTTCTGCATACAACTACGCAGAGCAGAACATGTCCCATTTGCCTCAAGTCCAGAATACAGCTGTTAACAGTCACCTCAACTCCACTTCTGTTGATCCCTACGACAGACACCTGTTGCCAAACTCAGGTCCTATGGCTGCTGCCACCACTTCCTCCTATTATGGAAGGGACAGGAGCCCCCTTCGACGTGGTGCACCTGTGCTCCCCACAGTTGGAGAGGGCTACGGTTATGGGCCAGAGAGTGAGCTCTCTCAGGCTTCAGCAGCTGCACGGAATTCTCTGTATGACATGGCCCGGTATGAGCGGGAGCAGTACGTGGACCGAGCGCGGTACTCAGCCTTTTAAAAACTGGAGGTGAGAGTGGGGTGGGTGCAGTTAAGAGACTCCATTTAGTCTTCTTAAGAGAGACCCGTGCTGCATAGGGGAAGCTAAGGCCACCTGTTTGCTGTCAGGACTGTAGTAGGCAAGAGATAAAAATTACATGTTAGTCTTAAATATTTCTCTACGTTAAGTCAGGTTCTTTTGGCCTGTTGAGGTTTTAGTGTATGGCTCCATCTTTTTCCTTCTGAGAGAACAAACTCCGTTTGTTAGTGAGATTACTGTTCTTTAATCCAGTGGGTTATAGAAACATAGTGAAGAGAACTAACATTTGTTGAGTGCCCTCTGTGCATACTATTTAATCTACACAATAAGCCTTTAAGATATGTTCTCTTTTTACAGAGAAGGGAACTAAACCTCATAGGTTAAGCACTCTGCCTGAAGTCATCTGGTAATTGAGAAATAGAGTCAGAATTCAAAGTCAGGTCTGGCTGACTCCTAAACCCATTCTCTTTCCACTGAAGTCACTGTGGAACTTTAAGATGAAGAGTACAGGTTCAGGAGTTAATGAACATCAGGGTGAGATTTTAACTATAACTTCAGACTTCTAATTGGCTAATAAAACTACTTCTTTATAAGATGCTTGAAAACAGAATGTTTTGCTGCCACTGCCCCGTGAAGTTCTTTCCTAATTAGTAATCCGGAGCATCCTGTTCTACATGGGCACTTAAGCCATGTCTAGCCAATGACGCTGTGGTGTAGGGCCTGATGCTTCCCGTTTTTTCCAGCAATCTTTGTTTTCTGTTTGAAAGGAACTAGATAAACCAGGTAATTTTTTGATGTGTATAAAATCCCACTGATGGTGACCCTGGAAATTTAATTTTTCCTACATCAGAAAATGTGTACCAAAGATGTTAGAATGGCAAGAATAACTGAGAATATCTAGAGATTGACAAATTTCTTCATCCAACTGGACATGGTATCATGACAGCTTTCTATTCTCATGGTTTTCCTTGTACCTTGAAATTGAGAATTACTTGAATGGGAGGCCTAGTAGCAAGGTTAAACTTAGTTAGTTACCACTGAGTTTCCAGGGTTCCTTTGGTATATGTTTAGAAGAAAACAAAGCAGTAGGAATTTGCCCATTTCATAGAAGCAAATATGGCATGAACTTGTAGCAGGCGATATTCTGTATGGCCACAAGACGGGTTTCCTGAGACCGTTGTGTAGCAGCACATGTCCATGTGCACGAATGGACAACCTTACTGCTTGTGCAGATTGCCAGTGATTTTTAAAGTAGCTGAATCTGCCGTGAAGTGGGATATACCTCTAAAGTAAGGTGGGATCATCCATCAGATAACGTGTTTCTCTTAAGTATGTTTCACAGTTAAATATTAAATTAATATATGTCATCTTTAAAGGGTATTGCATAGGTATTTTAAAGTGACTTTTGACTGCAAGCAGTGGTTGTTCAACTAACTTCTTTTTAGTGATGACTTTTAAAGAAACTTACCTTCCAGGTGTGAACCTCAAACGGACTGAATAACCCTGAGTTGGTTGCAGTCCCAGGAGCCTGATGTTAATGAGGCTGCCAGGATGAAACACTCCAGAACTGTTGGGGAATCCAAATTCGGGTCTCACTCTAGCAGAACTGATTCAAGAACATCACAGCTTTTGAAGTCGATTGGCACAGATCAAGACCAAGATTTGGCCCTTTGTCTGTAATAAGTAGAGGAGCTTGGTGTGAGTTAACTCCCCCCCAGCCATTGGTGTCTGGAGCTTGCATCATCAGTGGAAGAACTAGAGAATTTTAGGATTTCTCCTCTTGATTTGGTAAGGGAGATGTGGTCAGCTAGGGACTACTAGAATTATGGCTCCAAATCTGACTCTAACTTGTAGGTATATTGGAGGGTAAATGAACATTCCTTGATACCCCGTATGATTATTTTTGAAAACTTGTTAACTATGAAAGATTAAAATAAAACAAATTTAGAATACATAGTGTAGTTGCCATACTTGAGATCTTGGAATCTTCTGCTTTTTCTGGCCCCAGAAGTTAAATTATGGTTCTTGACAATATCTGTAAGCCCTTTGGTATAGTGACAGTAGCCTTGTATCACAGAGGTTGTCTTGCTTAAAAGATGGATAAGAAATAAGGAATGTGTATTATCACCAACACAGCAGTCCTCCACATAGATTGCTTGTTCTACTAGAGCTACTAGGGAGAGCCCTGCAAGGGTACAGTCATGTTAGACTCCTGGGTAATACTACATGGGGTATGTTCCATCCAGTCTGACATGGCTTTGTTTTGTTCTTTCTTTTCCCTCTGGAATACAGGACAGGACCAGGGCCCTTGCACTCGGAGCCGAGCTGCTCTCCAGGCATTGTGTAAGCCTCTTGTGTTGTGCTCTCTTTCAGGTAGGATAATTGTGGACTGAACCCTCAGGCTGCGGTCATATATGAGAACTTGCTCCGCGCGGTTCCCTTTGCCGGGATGTTTCCATTGCTTCATGTTTCAGTAAACAAAGGAGTTTGTGACCAACTATGTTTTCTTTCTTAATTTAATGCTTCTAAGTTGACTTTTCTTTCCTCCTGATATGAATCTCTGTAGCCTTTCACTCTCTTCCTTATATTCTCAGCCTCTGAGCAGCCCTAGGTAAGGATTATGCTGGCATCCCCTTTTTCCTGTACAGTGGAACCCCCCTCTTATCTTGCTTTCCTTAGGAGTTGAACCCTTCTCCCTACCTGCAACATCTCCTTACCCTTTAAAATGACCATGTAGTGGCAAGCAACCTTTTACTCTTCTCTGTTAGCTCTGGACTCTAACATTGAAGCTAATCCTGTGAAATTGCTAGGACCACTGGGGTGGGGGGCAGGGTGTTTTATTTGTTTTGTTTTTTCGTCTGACCTGTGATCGTGGTACAGCGTTAGCTGAAATTTAGTCTTGTTTTACTCCACTCCCACTTTTTTTAAAAAACTATTTTGACAAATAAACGTTTCTAACAAGTATGTTTTTGTGTTTGTGTGACTGACTTACAACCAGTGTCTTCTGGTTCTTAGTTGTGCTCAAACTACAAAATTCAAATTAATTGATGTCTGAAATTTAGGTGTAGGAGGATTTAGTGAGGTAAGTGACATGGCCTCAGCAAAGTTTCGTGAAGTTAGCTAGCATCTTGAGACACTGACTGGTAAATATGCTCCTTCTTTCTAAGTAACCAGAGCTGCGCTTTCCAGTGATAGAAGCAAGCCCCACAGAGAGAACCTTGCATTAGGAAAAGGACGAGCCAGAGCATCACCGACGATGACGTATCGGGTTGACTCCATTCAACTTCATAGTACGTTTAAGAGTTCTCTTCCTATGGTGTTAATATTCTGCTAGGATTAGACTTTGGCTAAAATAAAATGATAGTTATGACAAATCAAGTGACATTATAATAGTTATGACATTAATATTTTGAGCAGAAAAGCAAGAAGGGTATTAATGACTGGTAGTGACAACATTCTGCAATGAAATGTATCCTGGAGAATTTTAGATTTCTAGAAATGTCCATTTCTACCATTACCACTTTATTACCATTACTTATATCCCCATAAACAAGTTTAATGGTGGACTCAGCCCTACTTAAGCCTTTTATTGTATCCTATATGAAAATGTTGGCATGTAAATTCTGACTACCTATGAATATAATTATGTAGCATTTTCCCCACACTTAAAATATTATTTATACTTAAAATAATCCTGACAGGTGAAGCAAAATATTTCCCTGCTTTTCGGAAGGGTAGGATGTAACAATCTAGAGAGATTAACCTGTCAGTACATACACCCCAACTGGTGGTGAAGTACAAAGCCCCTTCAGGTTCAGTATTCCCCAAGGAGGCATAGGACTGTCCGTTTTACAAAAAGGGCGAGTAACACAAAGATCCTGGGATTTCTTCATGACTAATCTGCAAAATATCAGGCAGAGCAAAGAAATCAATATATACAGGTTTCCCTTGACCTCACCTAAATCTCTGGTGGTCCCCTGTGCTAACACAACAGTTTAACATATCTTGATTTCTGTCAGGGTAAGCAAGGGAAAAAGTTGGATTCTGCACAACAGTTCTGCATCAGCACAGTCCAGTAAAACTCTGGGTAATGTTGACAGTGTTCTGTATCTGTGCTGTCCCATTTGTAGCTGCTAAGTATTTAATTTAAAATGTGGCTGGTGAAGCTAAAAAACTGAATTTACCTTGTAATTAGCCACATGTGACTGGCTGCTGGCTACTGTATTGGACAGCACAGTTTGCGTGGTCAAGTTCCTCATATGAGGGGGAAAAGCCTTGCAGAATCATCAAATATTTTTCCCTTAGAAAATCTTTTCTGCCCTGACCAGTGCGGCTCATTTGGGCATCATCTTGCAAAGTGAAAGGCTGCCAGTTCAATTCCCAGTCCGGGCACATGCCTAGGTTGCAGGTGCAGTGCCCCATCAGGGTGCATGTGGGAGGCAGCTGATCAATATTTCTCACATTGATGTTTCTCTCCCTCAGTCCCTCCCTTTCTAAAAATAAAATCTTTTTTTTAATCTGTTCATTCTCCCCTGTAGATAACACTAGGAAAGGTGGTTTTCATCCGACGTAAGGAGACTGCTGAATAGGAACAGAAGTTGTATTTCTAAACCTCAGTTCTTACGTGAAGAATTGCATGTTGTGGGTACAAAATCTTTATTTTGCGAAGGCCAAATTTCTCGTTACAGACCATTTCAGTCCCTTGAGGCCTCTCATACTAAAAGTTCCTGAGTTCATCTGAATTTCTACTGTGAGCCAGGATTTGGTGGTGAACTGAGACAGGAGCTCCCTAGTAGAGAAGCAAACCTTAATTACATCTGTGAAAACTGCTATGGAGGAACATGTACAGGGTACTGTGAAGATAGTGACCATCTGCAGAAAGGCAGAAGGAAGAGAGTTGTCATTCCCTCTTCAGTCCTTCAAAGATCCCAGCCTCCCACTCCTTCCGTTTCTTGCCGGACTGTGGGACCCAGAGACAAACCCACTCGGGCTCTGCGTTTTAAGATCACCAAGTCTCAAAGGATCCTCCTAGGTTATCAAACAATTCCACCATCTCTGCCCTTTTTTTTTTTTTTCTTTTAAGATTTTATTTTTTGGAGAGAGGGAGAGAAACATCAATGCGGTCGCCTTTCAAGTGCCTCCTACTGGAGCCCTGGCCCACAACCCAGGCATGTGCCCTGACTGGGAATCAAACCACACTAGCCAGGGTGGCTTTTTATTTTAAATAAAATCCCGTTATAACGGGATGTTGCTGAAAGGTTCTAAATTGACGAGTGATACGATTTATAGTTATCAATAACATCCCAGCTACTGACTAGAGAGTAAACTGAAGGAAGAGAAGGGGAAAAGGAAGTAAATAAGATGCCAGGAGGCAGCTACTACAGTAGTCCTGTGGAATGATTGTATGGTCTTGACTATGTGACAAAGACGTGAACAGAAGTGGCAACATTTGATACAACACATGCTAAGGATGAGGGGGAATGAGAAACGGAAGAATCAAGGATGATTACCAGGAACCTTGCTGGAGCAGCTACATAGATGGTAATAGCATTTGAACAAATGGAGACAATTGGAGAAGAAACTTTTGGAGTAGGGAGACTTGGGATTTCTATCTCAGACCTATCGGGTTTGATGTAGTAAGTCAAAGAAAGAGCTCACAAGTACAGCAGGTCCTCCATCAACGTCATTTTGTGTAACATCGAAGAGAATGCTGTAAAAACCTTTGTTTAATGTCAAAGTAAAAAACATGAAATTAACTATCATTTTTAATAGTGTATTTTATTTAATTCATTATACCCAAAACATCATTTAATATATAACAATCGTTTAAAAATGAGTGGTCAACATTCTTTTTCCTATGTTTTTGAAATCCAATGGATATTTTATACTCATAACACTGTATGTGGCTATGGCCATCATATTGGTTGGCACTATGATGTCCAGCCAATGGCCATCATATCATTCAGATGGCCTAGGGAATCAATGAAACCACCTAAAATAGGGTTCCAACCTTGGCACTACTGATATTTGGGACTGGATAATTCTTTGTGGGGGCAGGGAGCATTCATCCTGTAAGAAGTTCAGCAGCACCACTGACCTAGGAATGATAGGTCCTCGGGAAATGAAGGGGTGGGGTAATTTCATGTGAAAACTTCGGAGGTCCAGTTTCTAGCACATGAAAAATCCCAACCAATGTATGCAACAGCAACATCAAGACGTCTTCCCCCATTGTCACTGTTTATATAGTCGGGTTTTTCTCTCCTCTTCTGACCCCTTCCTCTTGACAGCTAGTAGCATTTACTGATGACCACTGCCCACAGAGAAATTCTATACATCTGTTTGGGGAGATTGGGTGTTCTCCAAATTAGAAGGAACCACGGCTGCAGATTTAAATATCAGGTTTTCACGGCCTCTTGGCCAGACACAGCTTGTTTAAGCATAGAGGAGAAAACTTGGAGCTAGAGACACACAGTTGGAAATCTCCATAATCTAGACAGCAGGTAAAGCTAAGGGAATTGGTGATGCCACCTAACAGAGAAGCATGGAGAAGAGAGAGACATAGTCTCCTTTTTTTTGCTCTGAAAACTTGTCAACTTCTTTTTTTACCTTGAAACCCCAAATCTGCTGTTGCTAAGGGAGAAAGGGGCTGACGTGTATTCAGTAGATCTACAAAAAGTCCATCCAGTGTAGTGTGGCTGAGCTGAGTGAGCAAGGAATGTAGGATAAAGTCAGAGAGCTAAGAGGAGGAGGGGGCAGACAACAAAGGGCTTTATAGGCTTGTCTGGGGACCATGATTTTATTCTGAATGATGGCCTGGCTGGTGTGGCTCAGTGGATTGAGTGCCAGCCTGCAAACCAAAGGGTAGCCCAGTTCTGAATGAAATGCCTGGGGGTGAGGGGTGGCTGTGACACTATCTGCCAGCATGGCCCAGTTGCTTGGAGCATTGTCCTGTACACCAAAAAAAAAAAAGGTTTGATCCCTGATCAGGGCACACACTTAGGTTGCAGGTTCAGTCTCCAGTAGGGGAGCTTATGAGAAGCAAAAGCAATGTTTCTCTGTCACATGGATGTTTCTCTTCCCTCTTCCTCTCTTTCTAAAAGCAACGAAAAACCCTGGCTAGTGTGGCTCAATGGATTGAGCACCAGCCCGAGGACTGAAAATTCGCTGGTTCAATTCCCAGTCAGGGCATGTGCCCAGATTGTGGGCCAGGTCCCCAGCTGGGGGTGTGCAAGAGGCAACCAGTCTGTTTCTCTCCCTCTCTTTCTCCTTCCTTTCCCCTCTAGAAAAATAAAATCTTTTAAAAAACCAAGTAAAAGCAACGAGGCCCTGCTGGTGTGGCTCAGTAGATTGAGTGCTGGACTGTGAACCAAAGGATCGCCAGTTCAATTCCCAAGCGGGGCACATGCCTGGGTTGCAGGCCAGGACCCCAGTTGGGGGTACACAAGAAGCAACTACACATTGATGTTTCTCTCCCTCTCTCTCTCCCTCCCTTCCCCTCTAAAAATAAGTAAAATCCTAAAAAAAAAAAAGGTATTGAAAATTGTCAAGTGAGGATTAGAAAAGAAAAAAGAAAAAGTGCCCTGGCTGGCATAGCTCAGTGGATTGAGTGCGGGCTGGGAACCAAAGTGTCCCAGGTTTGATTCCCAGCCAGGGTACGTGCCTGGGTTGCAGGCCAGAACCCCCAGCAACCGCACGTTGATGTTTCTCTCTCTCTCTCCCCCCCTCCCCTCTCTAAAAATAAATAAATAAAATCTTAAAAAAAAAGAAAAAAGTATCACTCTGGCTTCCATATTGTGAATAAATGGAAGACTGCAGAAACAGGGAGATCAGTTAGGAAAGAACTTAGGAAACCCAGGTGAGAGATGATGGTGGCGCTGACCGGAGTGCTGACAGTCAGGGAGACTGTAAGACTTCCTGACAGACTGAATGTGGGTATGTACACCCCTCAAGGTTTAGGCCAGAGT